ATGTAATTCACGCCACATGGACGACTGGACTTTCGACAATCGTCCCGCCGCAATTCGGACCGTAGTTACGACGAGAGAATTGATAGATTGCCGATGCGAGACGGAAAAAAAAAAATCGAAGAGATACGCGCGCAATCGTGCGTTAATCAAGCCGCGATCGGCGCGAGGTATCAAAGGGCGTCCGATCGAATTGGAAATTCATTGCATGCAAATCACAAGGAGAGAAATTTATTTCCTCCTTTATATCCGCGCGGACCCTCCGCGCTTCTCAATCGCTCCTTTCCCCCTGGTGTGTCCCACCTGCCCCGGCCGTTCCTTCCTTCTTTCCTTCCTTCCTGTCAAACCGAGCTCGCAGCCGCAAATTAGCTGCTCACGCGGCGGCTAAAAGAAAATTAAAAGAGGGTTCCCGCCTCCCGGCAACCCCTTCTTTCTCCACCTTTACTTTCGTTCCTCCCTTGTTTTTAACGTCCCGCGAGAGGCGCAGCCTCCCCCTCGCGAAAATTTCAGGACTCACCGCCATTCTTTTGGCGTTGCACGACCCGCCGTACTCGAGATGTAGATTGAAATTAGATGTGAGCGATGAATTTATAACGTTGAATACTTGTCGGGCAAAATCTTGATACTGAGAATTAGCGAGAAAACATTACGCTCTTGATGATTCGTCATGCGATCGTCCGCGATCGCGCGACAGCAACGCGTACATAATCCACATGAAACATGACGGTCATACAAAAGACTCCCGCAATCTCAATCTTCCGTTATCGCGGCGATCGAAACACGTGTTAATTATGCGTGTCGCGCGGCGCAAGTTCGTAGTCGCCAATACCTAATTAAGCAACGCGAGTGACGTGGAGAGAAAAAAAGAAAATCGAGTGAAGCGACGGTCTGATGAATGATTGATTGTCCGCAGTCGAAGGACTCGTGTAATAGTTTAGTTATAGTGCAAGCCGACGTGTCAAAGCCTATGAGATCGCAATCGACATGAAGACGGGAGAAATTAGAGAAACGGGAGAGAGAGAGAGAGAAGAGAGAGAGAGAGAGAGAGGA